CTTTTCTCACCACAGGGACCTTGCAAAGTGTGTAACACAATATTGCCCTGTCCTTGGCCTACAGATAAACCAACAGTAAGACTTTTGTCTGTTTTGAAAATTATTTTTACAGGAAGGTATTTATTTATCTTAGTGTTGAGGCAGTGGGAAAAAAAGGTAGTTGTGTATCCTTTACGTGCAGTTGCACAAGCAACCCTAGCATTTTTTTTGGTTGTTGTTTTTCTCAGCAAATTTTACACTTAGTAGTTTGTTACTGCTTTTTGAATGATCACGTCTTTTTACTATTGTCCAAGCCAATGCAAGAGATTCTGCTGCCAAATCGTCCACCCACAGCTAGGATCAGACCCAGCACCCGCCCCCTCCCCGGCATAACGAAGCGCGTTCGTAACGCCTAAGCCAAGGCACTGATGGTTAAGTAGTTAGTTAGTTGCGTATCCTTTAAAGGACCTTGCAGAACCAACCCCAGCATGTTTTTGTTGTTGTGGTTTTTCTAGGCAAATAAATGTCCAGTAGTTTTCCATTGCTTTCTGGACGGTCAGCTTCTTGAGACCACTGTCAAAATCAACGCAGGGCACAAGGCTCGCTGCTGGGATCGAACCCTACACCCCGGCATTATGAAGCGCGTTCGTAACTCCTAAGCCACAGACACCGACGGTTAAGTAGTACACTCACTAAATTGTCCAATTTCCAAGCTTTACCTTCTAAACATCATCAACAAGGGCCTTGCCAACTGGCATGACCAGTCACGTTTCACAACTTATGATCTTCAACAACATGTATGACACTTTCCCATGAGATAGAAAAGAGTTATCGGTTCATTTTATGTTTCCCGGCCCAGAATGAGAGTGACTTCCCTTGCCATTCATAAATCGCTGTGTCTCAGGGCTTGTCCTATGCTGCCAGGGTGTCGCGCTTTGTCACCTGCCAGCGATACAGTCCCAAAACATGCAGATTTGGCCCCAATCTCAACTCCCCCCTAGATCCCATGAGAGAGTAACGCCTACGTTTGATGACTGCATGCAGCCTATAATATATGCTGCATACAGTTGTGCAACCTAGGCTGACATCTAGGAATATACAACACACGATATCACTGGCCAGTGACAGCAGCTAGTAAAATGCTAAGTGCTAGTAGCCGGTCATTAAATGCGACACCCCGGCAACATATGACAAGCCCTGTGACACGGCGATTTATGAATGGCAAGGGAAGTCACTCTCATCCTGGGCCAGGAAACGTAAAATGCACCGAGCTATCAAGAAATTAACTTGTCATTTACTTTCACTCCACCCCCCATAAACAAAATTTCCAGTTGTTACAACATACTCCAGAATTTCTCTTCTGTTATGTGGCCAAAAAATAAATGAGGTATATGCCTCTTTCTGATGTTTGTGATAAAGCAACTCCATATCTTGGAATCTTTTCAAAACATTGATTACTCATTTTGGCTGTCTATAGAATAGTCAGCAACCTTCTGTAGGATCATACCTCTGAAGCCACAATGGATTTTTAATATTTTGGTTGCTTTTGTGGAAAAGTAGCTAAGTTGTTTACCTAATTACCTAATTTACCTAATTTTAGAAGTTTAATTTCCGTAAATTATAATTCTTTGTTTTAGTTTTTTTTTTTCCCAGACATTCTTTAGGAGATTCAGAAATTAGATTCTCAAGTTTATCAGTTTGCAACAGGCATGTAAGAGGAATTATATTGCTGTTTAATGCAGGAAAACAAAAATATTACTGCATTCTTGGAAGACCAGCTTACACTGTTACGTTTTACTGTCTTTACAGGGTGAAAGAAAAACATGTCATATCTACCATGATTATTGCAGTCTTGGTTATCGACGTGATCGCTTCCCTTTTAGACACAGTTGGCTCATTTTCCGTGACCCGTGCTGGCACTATAAGCCTCCTCGTGTTTCCACTTGTTCTGCAATTTGCATGCGACACACTAAGGTAAGAATTCCAGTTGCTGTGCAGTTCCAAATTAAAACTGTTTTAGATTTTTTAGATTTGATTTCATTCAAGATTCAATATCACAGTACTCTGGGTATTCCCATAAGCACCCTGTCCCCATCTTCAACAACCAACCAAGAGTTCCAAAACCAATGGTGCCAATAAAAGTCTGATTAAATGTCCATCGTGCCTTTCCTCTGAGTGTCCAGTATTGATCAGAGTTTCTCATCAATTACAATCACACTGTTTGTGTAAATCCTGTTCTGTAGCCAACAGAAAGCTGCAGTTAGGCCTCTAACTGAATTCCTAAGCTGGATGTTGTGGTATCATTTGCTAGACTCTCCTGCACCAAACGTTGACCATAACATTTTTCTAAGAATCCCCAGACACCTATTTTGCCACTTGACACTGAACAAACTGTATAAATAATCACATTATGCAAGTGAGCATTATACTAATTAATTGCTGAATTTCCACATCTGTGGCACCTGTTGGCCACTCCCTCTACACTCCCATTTCAATGTGATTATGACTCTACAAAAGTCTGACTGTTCCACTGGACCTTTGACATTTGTTTAAAAAAAAACCCAAAGTAAAACAATTGTTTTATTAGTTTAAAGTCGATTTGTGTCAGGAGATCCCATTATAGGTTCCAGGGACTGATTTGTGTCATGAGATCCTTTTTTACGTTGCAAGGGACTGATTTGAGTCACAAGATCCCATTATAGGTTTCAGGGACTCATTCCTGTCACAAGATTACAATATAAGTTCCAGGGACTGATTTGTGTCACAAGATCCCATTATAGGTTCCAGGACCAGATTTGTGTCACAAAATCCGATTATAGGTTCCAGGACCAGATTTGTGTCACAAAATCCGATTATAGGTTCCAGGACCAGATTTGTGTCACAAAATCCGATTATAGGTTCCAGGACCAGATTTGTGTCACAAGATCCCATTATAGGTTCCTGGGACTGATTTGTGCCACGATATCCTATTATAGGTTCCATGTACTGATTCGTGTCACAAGATCCAATTATAAGTTCCAGGGATTGATTGTGTCGTGAGATCCCATTATAGGTTTCAGGGACTGATTTCTGTAATGAAATCCTTTTTTAGGTTGCAAGGGACTGATTTGTCACAAGATCCCATTATAGGTTTTAGGGACTGATTCTTGTCACAAGAGTACAATATAAGTTCCAGGGACTGATTTGTGTCACAAGATCCAATTATAGGTTCTAGATACTGATTTGTGTCATGGAATCTCAATATAGGTTTCTGGGACTGATTCATGTCACGAGATCTCTTTAAAGGTTCTGGGGACTGATTTGTGTCAGGAGATCCTACTATAGGTTCCAGGACCTGTGGGTGTTATCTGTTTTCATAATTTAAATGTCTCAAAGACTTATCAGAGAACAAGCAGTACCCCTGTACAATCATTTTTTGGTTAAGAGAGAGACAGAGCATGCGTTTAGTTTGTCCTGAGTGCCAGGATGTTTATTCTTATTAATGTGTGTACCTGGAATAAAGGATCACATATACATAATTGTTTGGCAATAAATTGCTGTTCTAGGGGAGATTATCCAGTATGGGACCCTTTTCTTGCAATTAGTGCAAGAAGGCATATGATATTTTTCCATATTTTGTAATCTATACTTACTTGCAAAAGAAAGTTAATACTTCATATATTCTTTAGTGACCAGTGTAGTTTGTGTCTGACTGCATCAACATTTTGACAGAAGTGAGGCGATGCTTAAAATGGTAGAGGGGTCAGAATGAAAAGTCACACTACTTAGTGAGTGTTGTGTCCTCTGGCATTATTCATAGCTTCACAGCTGCATCTCATTGAGTAGTTTAAGTTTTAGATTGCGCCTTATGGAGGATTTCTTCAAGCATATGTAAGTATATTTTCAAGCTGTAACAGATTTTGAGAGCGTTTGATGCCTTTTCCACATGGCTGTTGACCTGTGGTTAAAGGTTAATGTCAGGTAAAGTGATGGCCATGGATGAAGAATGTTAATGTTGTTCTGCAACAGAAATGCAGCGGTTCTCATACTTGATGATGGGCTGCACTGTCATGCATACATGCAAAGTCTTTTCCATGTGTTTGAAAAGTTACAGCTTGTTGTGTATGGACATTGTTTATGTATGGCTGTGCAGAGATGTGTCTCCCAGCTGTGTTCTACACTTCACTGATATTCTTCCCCGAATGATGATGCTGCCCCCACCATTGTTTAAATCCTCAATTTATGCAGTTACAGCACACCATTTATGTAGACTTCTGTATACCCTGATTATGTCTGTTGAGTAAAAGACAGACAGTGTCAGTGACATGAATTTATCACCATTTACTACACTTTGCACAGAGACAGGTTTGCTGTTCTGGTTTCTATGGCTCGAGCTGTAGCCCTTGTCCTGGAGGTTTCACAAATCCTTGTAGTGGAAATGGACAAGTAAGTGGAGGCGATCTGTATGTTTAAGTGGAGTTAATTAACATGTTCAAGTGGAGATTATTCGTGTTTCAGTGGTGGTTATCGGTCTACTGAGTGAAGGTAACTGCATTTAAGTGAAGGTAATAAATGTTTTTAAGTGGATGTTATCAAAATTGTTGAGTGATGGCAATTTGTAAGTTGAGTGGAGGAATTTTTTTCATGTGGAGGTAATCGATGTACTGAGTGGATGTAATTGTGCTTAATCAATGTGTCTGAGTAGAGGCAATCAGCATTAAAGTGGAAATAATTGGTGTATTCAGTCGAGGTAATTGTGTTTAAGTAGAGCTAATCAGTATGTTTCGGTGGAGGTAATCAATATGTTGAATTGGAGGTAATCAGTAAGTTTAAGTGAAGGTAATCAGTTTATTTAGAAAAAGGTAATCAATATATTTAAACGGTGGAAATCAATATGTTTAAGTAGAGGTAATCAGTATGTTTAAGTGGAGGTAATCAGTATGTTTAAGTGGAGGTAAACATGTTCAAGAGGGGGCATTTCATATGTTTAAGAGGAGGGAATCAGTATTTTTAAATTGAGGTAATCAACATATTTAAGAGAGGGCAATCAACATTTGTATGTGAGGCATCTAATATGTATACAGGGAAAGTTAAAGAACTATCTGAGATATGTGTGAAGTGTGGGACATGGGTTCAAACTCTAAGAGAGGCTGTTGATGGAAAGTACATTGACAAGAAATGCTCATTTACAGGGAATGTGTGCATCAATACATGTATTCTGTCTGGGAGAGTGCTGAAAATGAGGATGACAAGGACAGTTGTTATTCGCTATGGGTACCTCTATTATGTGAGGAAATACTGCCAATTTGAGAAAAGGCAAAAGAATCTCAATATTCATCTCTAATCTTGCTTGAGAGATTTTGAGATTATGGACGTGGTCACAGCAGGAGAGTGCAAACCTCTTTCCAAGACTGCCAAAGACAATGTGCTGAAAGTTACTAGGGCTTTAGGCTCCAAGAAAGACTTCAGCAAAGTTCAACTAGATGTGTAAGATCAGCAGAATAAACTAATTTAACATTGAAAAAAAAAGGTTTCAATGGAGGTAATCAATTTGTTTAAGTGGGAAAAGGGGTGGAAAAGGGGGGGGGGGGGGGCAATCAATATGCTTAGGTAGGGATAATCAATATATTTAAGTGGAGGTAATCAACATATTTATGAAGATACTCAATATGTTAACCTAAAGGTAATTAATATGTTCAAGTAGAGGTTCTCAACATGTTTAAGTGGGGGCAATCACTATATTTAAATAGAGGTAATCAATATGTTCATAAGGAAATGCTTCCTGTTTATGCTGACAAATGTTTATCCCATAAAGCGCAGAGGACTGCGTGGGCTCAAGGCATGGTGTCCGCAGACTTGGACTTCTAGTATTTCCCCCTGGTCTCTAGGTAGTGAGATCAGACAGATGCCAGTGTGAATTGTCGCAGACGTAAAAAAATTCCTTGGCAGTTGGAAATCAAAAAGAGTAGACTAACGACACTGCCTGGAAAAAATTTGGAGTAAAAAATCTACCTAAAGTATTTCAGGATCCTCGCCAGTGCTACAGAGCTTCTTAAAACTCAGATTTAGTTATAAAAAGAACAGAGCACTTATGGGTTACTACCCATGTGCCATGATATTGATCCGTTGTTCAAACCTCAAACCTATCCCATAAAGCGGTGCATAGCAGGGTAAAGAATTTTTCTCTAAGATGCTTTTGCAACAGACGCATCCATGCAGTGGGTGGATGAAATGATTATAAGTGACAGGCAAGTAATGATTGACTCTGTAGCAGCTGCAATAGAGTGCTCACATGATTTTTGGTCTACTGAAAACCCACCTTGGCAGGAGACATTTAATGAATTATACCGAAGTTCAATGCCAAGTGAAAATGTGGTTAAGAAAACAGAGCACACAGTTCTATGCAGCAGGTTTGGGAGGACTGATAAAATGATGGAACAAGTGCATCAATGTTGGTGGAAATTATGTTGAAAATAAAGGTACAGTGTGTGAGTTCGTGCAAAAATAAATGATTTTCAAGATGGTATTATCTTTAGTTTCTTTTAAACAACCATTTGTGACTTACTTGTTGACTTACCCTAGTATACGAAAATTGATAAATGCGAGCATTTCAATTATGATAACAGTGTACAAAATTAGAAAACAGAACACTCTTGCCAATATGTAAAGGAAGGAAAAAAAAAACAATTCCATACTGTGATTTATTTTGGGTGATTGGTACTAGCTTCATATTTAAAATGATTGTGCACTCAGTGGGTAACGACATCATTATATCAGCTGCTTTTATTTCCTTGGTAATTTCCTTTTTGCGATGTAAACAGAAGACTAGATTAAACTAATTAAATAATTCTAGCATAGGTCAAAATTAGTGAATTTATTTGATGTGCAGATATCAAAATGTTTTCCACCATGGAGTTAATTAAATTTTTTAAGTGAAATTAGATGCCGAGTAATGATGGCCAGCAATTTTCTTTGGTTTAAACTTTTTTATTTAAAGTGCTCAGCTGGCAAAGATGGAACAGGCCAGTGTTCATGTAATAAGAATTTTGCTGGGACCGCTTGTAACCAGTGTGCAAGGAATGACACTTTTGGAACTCTCTGTAGGAAAAGTAAGTTTTAAAATAAAGTCCCTTTACATGTCTTTTGATTTTTGTAGCTGTCACAGGCCTACTTTATTTTCTACTTATTCTGGCTCATTGGGTAGGCCAGCTAACAGACTTAAATACCCTAGAACACACTTAAAGCACATCCCTAAGGAGTACATTAACAATTTAACCTAAAGCAAGCCTCAACATCAATGGACGTTCTTTAATCCGAAACCCCAGCAGTGGTAGCTTACATTCATTAATCCACTCCAAGCCATTTCCATGGATATAACAAAGGACTCGATTCCACCTCATTGTCGTACAGCGCTAACTAAGCTGTCATCTTTGCCACATGAGACTCAGTGGCACACGTAAGGTGAGTGATCTAAGTATGAGTGGACAGTGTCAACTCCACCAACAGTGTATGTCAACATTAAGTACCTGCTTAACAGATTCTGCGTGAAAACTTCTACTACGCAAGAAACATTACAGATGAACAATCTTGTCAAACCACTGAATGGAAACACAACATATCTAAAACCTAACCACAAAATTTACCTTGCTAACCGTCACTAATAGAAGATAACGTTTACAGTTGTAGTCCAACAAATGTCGAGTCCAAATATCCTACACACGTCCCTCCTCAAACAACCTCTGCCCAAGCCTTTTGTTCCTCTCCAGCATTCATCTCGGACATGCTGTACATCATGTTACTCGTCAAGCATAGGGCTTAGCCCAACTCAGCCGACACAGTTTAATCCATGGTCGAACTGCCTGATCTTGCTCTGAGTTTGTCTGAGGGTCAATTCGTTCGGCCGTGGTGATTCATAATCATCACACCTACTCATCCTGTAACAAAACTAGCCTCTGACAGTAGCTCTCATTATATCTTCTATTTATCAGTACTTGAAACTGACTGTTAGATCACTGTTATGATATATCCAAATTATTAAGGTGCTTGGATGGGTCAGAATGAAGAAAGAGGAAGGGAGGGAGGAGTCTCTATTTTTGGGGCTACTGATAAAAACATAACACTAGGTAAGAGAAATGCCTTAGTACATTAGATCATAAAATAAAAATATAGCTCTTCTACCCTGAAGGTAGAAATGGGGGTAAAGGAGATCCTCTTGATTCTACCAGATATACCATGACCTAGTTTCTGCTGGTGGGACCCCACACAATCTGGAAGTGCCAGAAAAATTTATAGTAGTGTGGAACATGGATAAGTAAATTTAGTTTTGCTGTAAAATAGATTAAATATTACTCATAAAATACAATTAGCAAATATTTTGGGCTTAGATCTGACCGCATGTATTTTATTTTAAGAGAACACAATAGATGAGGTTAGGATTCATGGGGACAAGCCAGTCACACCTCATGCTCTATTTGGAACAAAAAAAGTTTACATATGTGCAACAGATGATATTTACTGCAGTTACAGTAATGTAAACAATGATACCCTGTTCAACCCATATGGTTATAATTAGTGTAAATAGTTTGTTTTTTTCCCCAGTTCAGCATTGTATATTTATGATCTTACTTTTGGTTATTTAATATTCTATAGATTATGCATTTAATAGATTGTTAGTTAGTTAGTTGGTTAGTTGGGTTATCATCATTGCACTCGGTATGAACCACAGCATCTGGTGGCTAAAAGTACCAATTCTATGTTATTTAACAAGTCCTTTGATGTGCGTCTCATTTTTTGCAATGTCAATCTTAACTCCCAAGTCTATCATTCTGGCGAGTGATGTGGATTCAATGTCCCCAAAGTCTTCCACCCTTCCCACTTCTCAGGGGGCATTAATAATATTAGCATGATCCATAGGTTGACCATCAGTAGTGAAAGCGGATCCAGCCAACCTATCAGCTCTTTCATTTCCCGTGGACTGGAATTTATGCAGCAACAGATTGTATGATTATACAATTAGTTAAATGTACTTTAGTGCACTTGTGAACTAAACTTGGTAATCATATTATTTGGGGATATAGCTTGTAGTAGTATCAGCACTGAACATAAATGTTATTTATCAAATATAATTATGAGTTTTTTTGTTTTTTTTACAGCTTGCAAATGCCAGTTTGGCCAATGTGACACTGGCCCAAAAGGTACTGGCAAATGTAAGCCTGGGACTTGCCAGCTTGGATACACTGGAGAAAACTGTGATCGCAAGTTGGTTCCTTGTGAAAGTGATGATTTCTGTCCAACTGATTCAAAATGTTTTCTTGGAAAAAAGGGTATTAACAGGTAAAACTGATATTAACAGTGTTGTTGGGTTTTTTCATGATTCTTTATAGTGTCTACAGTGTTATTTTGTTTTCATTATTCTGTGTGGTGTTTACAGTGTTATTCTGTTTTCATGATTTTTGTGTTTTTGCGGTATTTAAAGTGTTATTCTGTTCTAATTATTCTTTGTAGTGTTTACATAGTTATTCTGTTTTCCTAATCTTGGACCAGTCTCTTATCAACAGATGAAGAGAATAATCAAATCTATCAGTAAGTCACCAAAACCGGCACAAGACGATTACCATTTTATGGACAGAACAGAGCAAGTTATTATTCTACGCCTTAGAACAGGACACAGTCGACTTCGCAGCCACATGTACACAAAATTTCATATTGGCAAATCAGCCATGTACACATGTGGATTGCATCTGAGACAACAGATTGTGTCCCAAATACAACATATCAAGGCAAAACTTTTGGCCAAGAGAAACATCGGTGCAAGTCATACTTTACGGGTCACTGAGTGAATTACAAAAGACGTGAAGTTCATACTAGAGACATCATTGCAGATATAGATAATTTATTTCGAGTAAATGAAAGAAGAAGAAGAAGAAGAAGAGAGTTTTCCTTATTCAGTGTACTGTATATAAAACAGTAGGGTGCCTTGACCAAATCATCAAATGAGACATGATCATCTCATGAAAATACTGGAGAGCAAAAAACAATAACACCACTACCCCAACTCTGATTTAAATCTTAGTCTACTGGGCATAGCCATGAAAAAAAATGAAAAGTGATTGCAGAAAAAAAAAATACGATAAAAAATAACAACAAAGTCCACTTTAGAAGATAAATTGGCATGGTTAGGTTAGAATGCAAGGAGAATCGAAAAAAACAACAAAGTGGAGATATTTGTTTATATTATACTCACTTCCAATGTGTAGAAACCTAAACCTGTTTATAGCAAACAAATTAGGTTCCAGTAAATTTTTTATAGGGTGTTCCTAAATCTCCCTACACTTTGTATGCATAATAAATTTTAAAAATCCAAGTACATGATGTCATTTAAAAAGATGTGCTTTAAAATCATTAAATTATTCACAATAGTTACTGTAATGGTCTAACATTGTTTTGGGGAACCTGGAAAGTACCAATGAAATATTCATTAGAACAGGTCTT